CGAATAAATAACGGTTTTAGAATCTTCGCTATGCGCCGGTGGTGTTTTGAATTAAAATACGATGTTTTGTATTGGGGATTCGATTAATAGGAACGGGTGCGTATGCAAAGCGCATTTCTTCTGTTGTTTAAAGACATCATTTTAAAGCTTTTATCCGAAAGAAACGTAATACTGACTTATTTCATTGATCCTGATTAATCACTGAATCTGTTCAATGTAATAAATCACTAACAAAAGTGTTTATATAGCAAACTGGATTTAGATTGTCACTGTTTGTAATTTTTCTCTTTATTTCCATTTGTAACATTTGGGTATTCATTTTTGTGTTCATCAAACGTCGAACAACTAACTATTATGCGCAAATATTATATTTGATTTTGTTTTGTTTTCCAAACTGTCATATTCTATTTATCTTCCGATCTGAATTATTCCAATCGTTATATCGCCAACTATATTTAGAAAACTGGAGAACTGTATCGCTGTGTCTAGAGAAACGATTATAGTACATGCATAAGTTGTTTATCACATTTTTATAAAATTAGATTTTTTTTCTGGTTTTATATTTTTCCTATAACTGTTGATGAATGAAATTCAATCATAATATAAATTTGCCGCCGTTTTATATTTTTTAGAAATTTATTACCGACAAAGACATGAAAGTATACACATACGATCGAGACATGCCTCTGATATTTATTGGCGGCGTGCCGAGGTCCGGTACAACTCTTATGAGAGCAATGTTAGACGCACATCCTGACGTTCGGTAATTTTTTTATTGCATTTTCCATACAACGATGACTAATGATATAATGTTATCTTTAGATGTGGTCAAGAGACTAGGGTTGTGCCCAGGATCTTACAAATGCGCAACCATTGGTACAAATCGTCTAAAGAGACGTTGAGACTGAAGGAGGCTGGAGTTTCAGAAGAAGTGGTCAATTCGGCAGTGGCCGCTTTTATTCTAGAAGTGATCGCACGGCATGGTGTTCCGGCCCCGCGATTGTGCAACAAAGATCCTCTTGCACTCAAATCAATGGATTATCTGAAAGTTCTGTTCCCAAATGCCAAATACATTTTCATGGTGCGTGACGGCAGGGCCACAGTACATTCGATTATATCGCGAAAGGTAAATTGGATTTTGTCTCTTTACAATTTTTCATCAGTTATAAATCTAATCTTTTAACAATGACTTACAAGTAAACACGTTGATGGAAACAATGTGTTATTTGGATTTTAATGTGTTGTATTTTTACAATGAAACCTATAAATAGTGCCATTTATTAAAGAATATTGGTAGATTCCATTAGATGTTATTCGAGTATCCGCAAATTCAGTTTAGTACATTTCGTAGTATTTCGATATTCTTTTTCGAACAGTTATTAAGAAAGATATTTGATTACTACTCGGCTTTAATTATACTTGTTTCTTGTAATAATACATTTTTTCAATAAATATCTATTATTCTTTAAGGTGACAATCACTGGTTTTGATTTGACCAGTTACAGACAGTGCTTGGAAAAATGGGATGATGCTATCAGTATCATGTATAAAAACTGTCAAAAAGTAGGACCAACGCACTGTTTAATGGTATATTACGAAGAATTAGTGTTAAGACCTCGTGATACATTGACTCACATACTGAAATTTTTAAACATACCATGGAATGAAACGGTTCTCCATCACAATGAAATGATAAACAAACCAGGAGGAATCGCCTTATCGATGTAAGTAGTAATTGGTATTATATTAGAATGATTTTAAGAAGATATTGTCAATTTGGACTATAAGTGTTATGTAAACATTAAAACTTAAGGTTCCACTGTTAGATGCATATTTAAATAAGGAAAATAAAAAAGTTAAAACTATATTGGTGATAAATAATTTTATCGGTACACTTGTTGTATGTTATAATAAAATTAAAATGAAAGAACCAGTTATAAATCATAGACTAACCTTAATATGTTATTTAGCTTTAATTATAATACAATATAATGTTTCTAATTAGGGTGGAACGTTCTTCGGACCAAGTTGTTAAACCCTTGTACCAAGAAGCGTTAACTAAATGGGTTGGTCAAATTCCTGATGATGTTGTAGCTGAAATGGATAGTATTGCACCTATGTTGTCTGTTCTGGGGTATGATCCAATGGCAAACCCGCCTGTTTATGCGATTCCAGAGAACGAACAACAAAATAGTAGTTCTAATGTTGATATTATAGAAAAAGAATCTACTGAAAGATAGTGAATTCTATCTTTAGCCAAACCTACTTTATTTTTCATGTTATTGAAAATATGTAAATATAAATAAATGTAATTTTACAACATATATTTTGTATATATTATTATTTTTTCATTTTATATTGTCTCATGTTGGGTATTATAGTTAATAATGATTATTTTGTTTTTATACTTATATTTTGTACTTATTATATATTTGTATTACAGCAGTAAATTCTGTAAATTTTTTTTAATTGAATTAAATATATTCGACAATCTTTAAATTATTAAATTTTAGTGCTTTAATTTTAACTTTTTTAGTACTTTTAAGCTATAATCAATTTTCATAATTTTTAAATAACTGCGATACAGCTGTAAATTCAAAAAATAAACTTTATTAATAGATCATTATGTAATATTTAAACCTATAAAATTAAAATTTTAAACTCTTTAAATACAGCAGTGTATGTTAACTTCTACGGAAATGAAATTTATTAATATACAATGTGGCCCACCACTCACTGACAACTTAATTAACTTTTGATCTAGTTAATCTTTTTAGCTGATTTTTTTTTTTAAATAATAGTTATACGTTAGGTCTATAGCTATATCAATAATTATTTTTTTTACATTTTATTAAAAATATTAATTATTTTTAAATTTTAAATAAAATGTAAAAAAAAAAATCTAA